GCACACACACAGCAGTGAACACACACACACCGTGAACACACACCCGGAGCAGTGGGCAGCCATTTATGCTGCGGTCCCCGGGGAGAAGTTGGGGTTCGGTGCCTTGCTCAAGGGCACCTCAGTCGTGGTATTGAAGGTGGGAGAGAGCGCTGTACATTCACTCCCCCCACCTACAATCCCTGCCGGTACGAGACTCGAACCCACAACCTTTGGGTTAAGAGTCCGACTCTAACCATTAGGCCACGACTGCCCCCCATGCATTGTGGTGCACAATCTTAATTCAAGTGATGAAGGATTTTGGAAGTCTGACAGTGTTGAGCACTACTGTAAGGTTAACCCTGCATGGTGTAAATGTTTGAAAATGATTAACAGTTGCAAATAAACATTCATTAGAAATTTAGAAAAGTAATCAGTTACATTACTTTAATAAAGTAATTGAAAAAGTTACACTACTATTACATTTTAAATAGAGTAACTTGTAATCTGTAACCTATTACATTTCCAAAGTAACCTTCCCAACACTGCGCATGAGTGTGTTTGTATTTAATCACAACAAATAATTACTATTAGAAAGTTGATTCACATGCACATGTCAGAGAGTAAGATTAACACTGATCGGCTTGGCGTATTTTATTACGGTGAATGCAGACGTTCCAGAACCGTTAACAGAACTGAATCACGAAGTGCAGAAACCCAACTAACAAAAAGAACATTTTTGCTAATGTTCCCGTTTAAGTATTTATGAACATTCTCTGAACACTCAAAACATCAAGTTTGGAAAAAAAAAATTTTTTTCTTGTTTATGCGTTCCGTTGTATCAGTTTGCCAACATTATGGGAACGTTACTTTTGAATTCTCTGAACATTCTGAAACAAGTAGTAACGTTTAAAAAATGTTAAATGAATTTCCCAAAAATTGTTTCAGAAAAAAAAAATTCCATAAATGATGTATAAATAGCATTTTTTGTGCAAACATTATGACAACATTTTTAAAGACCTAGAAGACCGATTTTCATAACTTTGAGAGAACCTTGCCAGAACATTTCCTGTTAGCTGGGTAGAAGTGATGTGCTATTTGTACTATAGGTAAATACAAAGTTTGCTATTTGCATTTAGTGTAAATAGATACTGCCATTAAAAAAATGGAGCTTGTTTTGAATAAGAACCGGTTCTTGATTCCCAACCCTCCATTCACAAAGTGATGCTACATAACACAGAACGGCGAAGAAGTGCATAAGCATGGGATTCTTTGGTTCAGCTGTATGTTTTTGGTAAAATTAATTCAGGTCTGATATTGCTGAGGTAATACGTTAGAAATTAAGCACCATTTCATATATAAAAAAGTAAATAATACAGAGAAATATCGTAGCTATGCTTTCATGCATCTGGCTTCGCTTCTCATTATTTTCAGTCATAAGGTACACAGTAGTGGTGAAGAGGGAATCTGAGGCCGTCATATGTGATACATTAAATACATTAAAGGGGTCATATGATGCTGCTAAAAAGAACATTATTTTGTGTATTTGGTGTAATGAAATGTGTTTATGTGGTTTAAGGTTCAAAAAACACATTATTTTCCACATACTGTACATTATTGTTTCTCCTCTATGCCCCGCCTTTCTGAAATGCGTCGATTTTTACTAAGCTCATCGGTCTGAAAAAGTGAGGTGTGCTCTGATTGGCCAGCTATCTAGTGCGTTGTGATTTGCCGAATACCTCAAGCGCGTAACGGAAATGTTATGTCCCTTACCATATTGTGATGCCTGCGGCAACCACATGTGACGACCCCAGGCTGGACTCCGCTTTGTCCACGGTGAAAGCCGATCCGGCGATCGACAGCGCGAAGTTGAAGTATTTCCTCAGCGACCAGCACGAATCAGCTCCAGGCATGACGAAGCGATATCGTCCTCTTTTGGAAGGCCAAACAAAGTAGTTTCGCTTTCACAAAGAAGCACACAGCGCCTTCACGACATGGCGGCAGAGGCAACAATACTACAGCGAGAATAAAAGTTACGCCTTCTTTCTTTGCGTGAACATTTGGGCGGCGTTATGCAAATCTTTCCAGATAGTGACGTAGGTATGTGGGGGCGTGTTAGAACGAGCCGTTGTAGGTAGGTGTGGCTGACTCTTAACTTTTATAAAGAATATCTCTTTGGATTTGAGACTATAGTCTTTGCAACTTTACAGATCTTCTTTATGCACCAAGAGCTTGTAACACTCCAAAGAGAAAGGAAAAATTGAAATCGCATCATATGACCCCTTTAAGTAATTTCAAAAGCCTAACTTGCGACGTTGACATCCAATTGACATTTGGAATGAACTATTTGCGTGGGTCGCTCTGCTGGTGTTAACTGTAATGCTGCTGCAATAGTGTCAAAGTTCATAGGTTACAGCTCACAGGTTCTTCATACACACTTGGCAGCGGCTGATGCGTGACAGGAGCTGACCGGCTTTCAGTGTCTCAGAGGAAGGGGAACTCTGGAAGGTCTGATCGATAGACGTCAACCAGAAACTTTGCTTGTTGGCGAAGTAGTGACACGTACCCTTGGCCCCGTTACACTCAATGAAGGGAGTGGTGCGGAAATCTTCTAGACAGGAGCCCGGAGACACCAGAGACTGACCGCCACCTTCATCTCCAGCTGCCGTGTGCTGTGAGGGAGTGACAGAAGGAGTTACAGGACTATTAAAACAACGGAAGTGTAACATTTTAGAAACTAAGTCTCACCATAAGGAAGGAATAGCCAATCCAGAGACTTCTCCAGCCTGCTGGGCATTGTGGAATTGTTATATCTTGACTGTGTATGGCGATGGCCACGGATGGAGCTTCGCACACGGAGCAGCGGCTGATGTATGGTTTTATTTCGGCCTCCTCCACGGGCATCATGGGAATTGGTGCGGTGGTGGACAGCCAATAGGATTTGTCATTGCGGTTGGCATAGTAGCATACGTCTCCAGGATTGCAGTACAGGAAGGGCATGGTGTTAAAACGGCGGAGACATGAGCCGGCTAGACCTGGATGACAGAGAATCACAAAATACAGTTATTGATTTAAATATAATTACTTAACATACGTCAGTAAGTTTATTCAGTGAGTAAGTAATACTTTTATTCAGCAAGAATGCATAAAACTAATCAAAAGTGATAGTAAAAGTAAACAGTAGAATTTATAAAACCGTATGTTACAAAAAATATTATTATTATTATTACTAATATTATTATAATATTACGCAGCACAACGGTTTTCAATATTGATAATAATAATAAATGTTTCTTGAGCATCAAAACAGCATACTAGAATGAATGATCATGTGATGCTGAATACATTTTAAAATATATTGCAATAGAAAACATTTCTATATTATTTCGGAATATTACTGTTTTCACTATATTTTGATCAAATAACTTCTTTCAAAAACATTTAAAAATCTTAACAACCCTAAACTTTTTGATTGGTAATATATATTAGATGATATAATAAGAAAATGAATTACTTGGAAAGCATTGTAAAACATGAATTACGTTCATAAACATGTCTGTTGTTGACCAGTGATGGGAGAATCTTAGAATCAGTTGATCCAATTTGTAAAATGATTCACTGTTTTAAAGTGCTTGAACCATCTGCTAGTGAAAGTGAGTTTATTTATGATTATATATTAGTTTTTGTTTCTTAGAAATTAAGGTTGTGTTCATACTAAAACAGTATTTATGTTTTTTTTATATGTTGTTTGATCTAAAGTTGTACAAATGATGGTGGTGTCAGACTGGGAATTACAGCACATCTTGTGATTGATTTTATTATTTTGTCAGTTGCACTTACCCAGGTCTTGGTTGTGGGCCTTCTCCTGTCCCTCAAAGTACAGGAGACTGTAACCATCCCATAACTTGGACATACCCACAGGGCACATGGGGATCTGCTCAGACTGACTGTGCTTCACCAGCAGATAGCCAACATTAACACTGCGGCCGGGCATTCCAATAGTACCAGGTAAACCAGGGCTCCCTCGGGTCCCTACCATTTGAGATGCATTATCAACTTGTGATTCACGTGAGAAAAGAAAAAACTATTTACATGAAATTGCCAAAATTATTTAAAAATGAAAGGCTCACATGGGCCTTCTTGATGTCCAGTCATCTACAATTGTTAATCCACTAATCTAGTCCAGAATCCTCATTCATTTTTACACAAACACACCACTTACCTTCTTCACCTTGTAGACCAGGGTGGCCCAATTGTCCAGGTTCTCCACGGAAGCCTGGATTTCCTGGTATTCCAGGGAGACCTGGCATGCCTTTTTCCCCATTTGGACCCAAAACCCCTGTAAACAGATAATAGCCATTTACACAATTATACTGGAGCACAGCAACAGCACAAAAGAAGAAGCTTATGCATCATATTCATGGCTTTGAATTCTCTTACCTGGATCACCAGGAGTTCCAGCAGGGCCTGGGTTTCCACGCCATCCCTGTGGTCCTTGAATACCCATTGGGCCAGGTGGTCCTCTCTCCCCTGGTAGTTTCAGTGGGACTGGTGGAAGCCCTTTAGAACCAGGTAAGCCAGGAATACCTTAAGCAACAAGGTAGAGAGAATGGATAAGATGCGGTCAAACTTAATGGACTTTATTTACTGCAAACCGCAACAAATGGTTCTGGCACCACTTCTGGTCTGAATAAATAAGAAATGCTAAATGTTCAATACAATCTAGATCCAGATCTCATTGCAGCCAACACATTTAGATCTACTGGTCACGCATTATCACTACAAAAAAAAATAAAATACTAATAATAATAAAAAAAATGCAGGTCAGAACAAAAATTACTTCAGTAAGCAGAAAATTTTACAAATATGATAAATAAACAAAATATTATAAGCAAAATTTGAAATATATTAACGAAAACCATGCAGTAGAGCTATTTTTGCATATTAAGCTGAGATAGGAAATTGAAAATATTTTATTATAAAAACAATTACACATTTTAGATTTTAAATATAAAAATATGTTGTACTCGGGATTAAAAGGGTCATGCTGACAAATCATTTCAACTCGCCTGGGGGTCCAGTATCTCCTTTAGGTCCAACAGGGCCCCTGTCGCCTTCAAAACCACGCCTTCCTGGATATCCCATCATTCCTGTTTCTCCATTTTCCCCTTGAAATGAAATAAAGCATTCCTACATGATTAAAGTTATTTTTCAGTTAAGGCTCATACTGGAACAAAGTGAGCAATCTAAACATTGTTCATCTAATATGATTTTCATGCGAGGATTCCACCTTCTGTCACATTTAACACATTCTGCTTTAGTCTCTCATTTCATTTGAGAAGGTGCATGATTTAATTGTCTTGACATAATGACTACTGGTCTTCTGTTTTGATTTTGCCAATGCAATGAGATTTGCCATAATCATATTTCATCATCTACCTTTTCTTCCTGACACTCCAGGTTCCCCTGACGGTCCTTTTTCTCCTGAGTTTCCCTGGACTCCTTTTTCTCCAGTCAATCCAAAATCACCTGGATTTCCATTCTCTCCTCTTGCTCCGAATGGAGATGGGTCACCTGGGATCCCTCTGGGACCAGGGAAACCTAAATGATAACAGCAATGGGTTTCAGACAAGATGGCACGTTCTCAAAATTAATTTTCAAAAAAGATTATAGATTAAGAAATAAGTTATTTCTTGTATGGTAAAGTGGCACTATATATTTACTTTAGTAA